CGAGGCACAGGGCAGCGCAGGTTTTGTGCTGTGCATCATCTCAGGACCTTTGCCTCGGCAGTGGGCAGAGCCGGGACGTTCGGTGTGCTGCGCTCTCCTTTGGGCCAGAGGCTGGTGGCACCCTGCACCCCTAAATCCCAGCCTGCTCTTCACCGCCGCCCTCCAGCCAGAGACAGGACCAGGCTCAGGCAGCGCAAGGACATCAAGGGCTCCCTGGAGGAGAGCTGGCTAGAAACTTTTACTCAAAAGGGAAGTCTTCAAATTTTGAGAAGAACCAGGCCCTGGGGTGTTTCTCAGGCCTGCATGCAACACTTCCCCCTGTCCCAGAGAACCAGGTACACGGGGCTGCGCCAGGCTCGGGCAGAACCCAGCTCCCCTGGGGCTGACCGTAGTGCTCGCTGATTGATCACCCTTTGACTCAGAAATTGCCTACAATGAACTGACCTTTTTTTCCCCTGGCAAGTGTTTTTTGCTTTGATGATCATCCCTTTCCCAGCACAGAGAGGAACACCCATCAGCTCACCCTGCTGGCTCCTGGGCTGTGACAGGGGTTTGTCTGCTCACGTTTGCGTTTGCTCTGCTTGATCCTGGCAGGAGCTGCTGGCACTGCTGAAGTGCGTGGAGGCAGAGATTGCGAACTATGAGGCCTGTCTGAAGGAAGAGGTGGAGAAGAGGAAGAAATTCAAGGTGTGTTTGTTGAAGGCTTGTTTGCGTTGCTGATTGAGCTTTCTGAAGGCTTCTGTCTGGGTTGTCTTTATGTCAAAAGTGGAGGGAGAGTGGTGCAGCTGAGAACGGTGATGGGGAGTGTTTGGGGTCCCTTTCCCGCTACCGAACAGCCCTACAAGGCAGAGCTCCCGGCGGGACAGACTGAGTCCCCTGGGCAGCAGTAACTAGCTTGAGGAGGATGGTGACCACTGTAACAGATGAATATCAGCACTGCCAGGAGTCCTTCCCTCCCCACCCTCGCCTCTTTCCATCTGCTCTTTGTGGAAAATGCTGGCATCTGAACTGGGACGGAGACTGTCCCAGTTGTGCACTGGCCTGAGCTGTGCTGGGAAGTGGGTTCCTTCCTGCTCGGGTCTCCTTGGCCTGTGGGTTGGGCCAGGCATGCTGGTTCTTTGCCTCCTGTTAGCTTTGGGCTCTCCTTTCTCCCTGCCACCCATTTGTGGATTATTTATGGATTTGTCACCTCTTTGTAGATTGATGATCAGAGGAGAACCCACAACTACGACGAGTTCATCTGTACCTTCATCTCCATGCTGGCCCAGGAAGGTGAGCTGTGCTGTGCGGCCCAGGGGACGGAGCGTGGGGTTCAGATTCAGCTGCGGGAGCTGCACCGAGCATGGCAGAGCAGCAGCTGGGAGCCTGGGAAGCTCACCCTGCCCTGCCTCCTGTTTCTGCCAGGCCTGGGGCACGAGGTAGCGCTCTGTCTGGGGAGCCACACATCTCTGCTCCATGTCCTTCTCATTTTATAGTCCCAGGAGGAGCCCACTGATGGGTTTGGGGCGAGGGAGGGAGGGCTGCGCTCTGGCATGAACAATACCAGCACTCCAGCACGGGATGTGTCTGTGCCTCTTCCCATGCAGGCATGCTGGCCAGCCTCGTGGAGCAGAACATCTCCGTCCGCAGGCGGCAAGGAGTCAGCATCAAAAAAAAAGACCCGGCCCGCGGAAACCGCTCCCGCCCGTACAAAGCCAAGCGGCAGTAGCCTAAGGGTCAAGACTGTGAGAAGCAGCAGCTGGGCTTTGTGGCTTCGGGCAGTGGCACTTGGAGCTATGTTACCCTTTGCCCGAGGAAGAGGGACCACAGCGACAAGCCCTTGGCCGAGGTAGAGCCTGGGGACAAAGAGATACCAGGTTTTCCTCTGAGCCCGAGCTGTGAAAGGCGGGAACATGTCTTGAGGGGAGTCCCTGCAGCTGCAGCAGAAGGCAAGCGGACTGCCCAGCTGCCTGACTGTGCCACAGCAGCACCCCCATGCCGTGGGCCCGTGTCTCGACACTGTGGCTGAAGACTGCAGCAGGAGATGGAGAGCCCACCCGGATGGTGACGGGTCTGGCGTTGGGAGAACGCCAGCGATGCTGATGCGAGACTGTGCTGGCCACAGCTGGGTGTGGCTTGTGTCCTGTGTCCAGGCCTTCAGCTCTGTGCTTCCCCAGGGCATTAGTGTCTGTGTTTTGTATCCCTCTCCCTCCCTTCCCTAAATTTTTGGTTCTGACCTATGCTTTGGCCGTTGCTGAGCGAGGTGGCTCCAGGACAGAGCCTGTCCTCCTGCATCCACCCCTGCTGCACTGCCCAGCTCCCAGACCTAGCCAACACTTGGCCAGGCAGGTCCTGCCTTGCCCTGCTCTGGGGATGGCAGCACCCCCTGCCAGCACAGCTGGGCTCCCTGGTGGGCCTTGGCAGCTCTGTTGCTGGGTGAGGACAGGGGGGCTCGTCCCTGGAGTTGGGCCTTGTGCCCAGTGCTCCACAGTGGTGCTAGGGGTGGTGCGTGGCTCTTTTGCCACGGCTGCTCTCCTAGGGACCAGCTTTGTGGCCCTGGCAGTTCCTGTGGCTCACATGGGGTTGCTCCAGGCCCAGTCCTCAGCAACCCCATTGATTACGAACAAACCAAGTTTGTAGGGTGGCCTCAGTGCTGCTGGGCACCACGCAGGGGCAGGCGGTGGATGGGCAGTCACTGGGTGCCCTTGGAAAAGCCTTTCAGTGTGGGGAGAGGCGACTGGTTGCTGTAACGCTCAAGGTGGGACAAGGGCTGCAGGGGGGGGTGGAAGCAGTGAAAGGAGCCCAAAGCTGCTGCTCCTGACCACACTGTCCACTAGCCCAGAGCTGGCTGGTGCGGGCAGCAGCCTGATCCCTGCTGAGAGCCGGCCTTGTGCCTGCTGCCTCCGACTAGCCCTGCCATGCTCCTGCACACGGTCCGCTGCCTGTCCCCAGCAGCCTGGCAGAAATCTCAGAAGCCAGAGGGCAGCACCTCTCTCCCGAGGTGTCCTAAGGTGCAGCTGGGCCAGGGGAAGCTGCCACAGGAGAGGACTCGAGTTTTGCAAATGTGCAAATTTGTACAGATCTTGACTATGGAATGAAACTGTTCTTTTGGTATTTGTTGAAGAGAAGAAAATCCTTCTGTCTCTTGCTGTGTCTGATAACAAGTTCTGTAAATAATGGATCTGTCTGAAGGAATAAAGCTATCCTGTAACAGCCAGCCACGGGAGAGGGCGGCTGTGTGGCTGGGAGCACCGAGCGCCTGCGCTGGGTCATACTGTCCTCGCCGGCAGCTCTTCTGTGGTGCTAAAAACTTGAGGTGATTGTGGGGATTGCAACAACACGAGGTGAATGGGGTGCTGTGGAGTTGAGCTCAATTTATTGACACAGCTCCGAGGGCAGGAGGAGAGGGGGAGCAGCTCCCTGCCTGTGCTGCCTACCTCTGTGCACCGCGGAGGCCCCGGCTCAGGCCCTCAGCTGGGATGGTTTCCTGGGCTGGGTGGGTTTTTCTGGCTAGAAGTCCAGGGCACAGATCAAGGCTGTGCCCCGTTTGATCCAGTGCTTCTGCGGCTTGTCCGTAGGGATCTCCACAGCCATCACGTAGTTTGTGGAGTGGCCTGTTGTTGATAGCGTGCCTGGCATGGGGGAAGCAAGGGTGAGAGGGTGGTACTGCAGCCCTGGCTGCTGCATGCTGACCGGGCAGTCCCATACAAGTGACCCCATGTGAGAGCTCCTGTCCCATCCCCATGCCAAGTGACAGGTTGAGTGGGGCTAGGGGAAACAGGCTTGTTTATTTTGGGGTGTGGGCCTGAGGAGAGCTTGGCCAGGGGCACTGCTCCATCTCCATGACCACAGCAGGAGAAACCTTTTTCTCCCTGGATGGTCTCAGCTAACAGTGCCTCGCTCCACACCAGTATGTGGCAGGAGGAACTTCTGCAGCCTCTCCTGGGCTGCCCTTCCTAGCTGCTTCTTCAGGATACCCTTCTCCCGGGGG